ACGCGCCTGATTTAAATGTCACACCTGAACGCTCACATCCTTTTAATTATGTTTGAAATTATGAACATTTGCTCAACATCATGAAAATTAAACCTTATTTTCAATAAGCAATCCTGAAAAATATTTGGGGGTGCTTAACTTTTTTCCAGATGTATATGTATGCTGAGAAGAGCTGATACTGTGGAGATAGTTTCCATTATTCACAAGAGCCTGGCTAGTCTTAGTGACTGTACTATAATGTGGGAAGTAAGTTCCAAAACATACTTACCTCTTCTCACGCTATTACTTGACTGTTAGGTTTTCTTTTCCTTTGCCCATCTAAGCATTGTTCTAAATTTTTCTTGCTTGCTCCAGTCTTTTATCTCCCACTTAATTACCCTTGGTGATATCTGTCTCATGAAACTCTCCACTTACCTCAATGCACCTTTTATTTTGGTACTGTGTATAAGCATCTCCTTTAGATAATATTGCCACTTTTTCTCAACAAAGCATTCACTAATGGGTTTCTCTGTAGTACGACCATTGCAAATAATTTGAACATTGTTCATGTTACCTTTTTGATTTTTATATGCAGTTCCAGAATGGTCAACCTGAATAGATCACAATTTTATAAGATTCATCTGACCATAACTATGGTGCTGAGATATTTATCATCCCTACACCTTTATTTAGAAGTCTCTCAGCAGTCCCCACATTAATTTGATGATGAGTTCGGACCATATCTAGCATCCACTTTTGTTTGATTGTCAGCTTCTACACTTTCCCTAGTGTCTTGGCTGGTATCTTGTTGGGTAGAGATGCATTGTTAGAGGGCATTTGTTTACCTGCTGCCACCCTCCATGAGTTATGTGAGGCCCCCTTTCTCCGACCCTTGAATTTTGTGTGAGTTTCAAAGTCTTTTGAATCAAGGGTTGATGTTGCTCATCTGCATTCATCCCTGTCATCATTGGCTTCTCACCTTTCCTTCATAGTTCCACCCTTATTCAAGTGTCCTGACCCACAAAATCAGCCCTTCAGTACATCGGTGCCAAGGATAGATTCCGCCCATATCTATAAGGTTTCTCCTCTCTGCCGGAACACCGCCAGCACCAGCTGACTACTGTATACCTTTGGGGTCTGTGGGGCTTGGCTCAGAGAATTTCTGGACATGTGGAAAAACCTTTACCCTGGATCCATGGGTACTACAGGTCCTGGTGTCAGGATTAGTCATTCAATTCCCATCTCCACCACCATTATCTGTCCAACCTCTAGTGTTTCCACCACCTGCAGATCCTCGGATTTTGGAACTTTGTTCCACAGCTATCAGAGAGTTGTTGGTCAAGGGGGCAATGGAGAGAGTTGTTTCAGTTCTTCCAGGATTTTATTTACATCTGTTTGATGTGCCTAAGGAGATGGGAGATTGGTGTCTGGTCATCCATGTTTCTCATCTAAATCAATTGCTAGATCCTCCAAAGTTTACAATGGAGTCATTCCTCAGTCTGCATTGACATTTTTTGCTAGGACTGTGGATGACCAAGTTCAATGTTGCCAAAGTCTATCTGCACATTCCCATAGAGGAGTTATCCCGCCACTATCCGTGTTTTGTGCACAAGGGTCAGGTGTTGCAGTTCAGGGCTCTACCCTTAGGACAAGCATTAGCACCATATGTGTTCTGCTGAATCGTACAAACTTTTCTCTTCACCTTGATTCCTTAGGCCTGTGCACACACCATTACATGGATGACTGACTACTGCTGGCACCATCTTGTCAGTTGGTGGAATGTCACCCTTAGATTTTGCTTTCCAGAGGAACCAAGGCAGGATTTCTCATTGGGGCCAGGAAATTATTCTTACTCCAACACAATATATCATCCATCTGGATGTCTTTTTCAACACGTATCTTAGTCGGGCTCAGCTGACTCCCATCTGGCTCCACGCTATAAATTGGTAGTTAAACTGCTACTCACATCTCTTTCTCCCACAGCATGGTTGGTTCTTTTTTTTGGGGGGGGATGTGGGCATCACTCGATTCCCCCATTTCTTTGGGACAAGTGCACATGCAATCCCTTCCGTGGTTTCTGTGTGATTAATGGATCATGAAGAGCAATCCACTGTATTCAGGATCAAAATCTTCAATCTCAAGTAATGGTTAGATCAGAACAATACTACGTGAGATGTTCCTTTGCCGCCACTGCATCCAGAAATTCATCTTTTCATGGATGCCTTGCTTCAGGGATGTGGTGTGTATCTCAATGGTCAGGAATACCAAGCTCTATAGATGGACGATGAGGCTTCCCTCCACATCAGTGTTTCAGAACTTCTTGCTGTTCAAAGGGTGATGTCTGAAAGTCTCGAATTATTGAAGGGCAAAATCATCATGCTTCACTCTGACAATTCCATGATTGTGTCTTACATTTCCCATCAAGCGAGTACTTGGTCCAGGTCTCTTTGTTTTCAAACCTCAGATCTTCTGTATTGGGCCCACTCCCATCATATCATCCTACCAACTTGCCATGTTCTGAGGTGATGACTTTGGTAGCAAATCAATTGTATCCACCCAACTGGATTTTTCCAACAGAATAGATGCTTCATCAAGGGTTTTTCTGTTGGATTTGCTCTTGGTTTGGGACAACAATGATTGATGTGTTTGCCACTCATTGGAACACTCAACTACCGGCATTTTGGTCTTCGGTACATAAACCTCGGGCATTGGCAATAGATGCATTCAGTCAAGACTGGACTGAATTGCACCTACATGCCTACCCACTGATTCGTATGTTACCCAGAGTACTAGCAATGATTCGTTCAACCCCTTGTTGCATTCTGTTGGTATCACTGGATTGGTCAGCTCAACCCTAGTTTCTGCTTTTGCGGTACCTTCAGGAGTGCCCACCTCTGCCACTTTCTCTCTGGCCATCTCTGTTGAGGCAGCCACAATTCGACATCTCACACCCATCCATCCTGGAGGTTATGCAGTCCTTCACACAGTGTCAGGTTTAACTTCTAAGGTTGCCAAGTACCTGTCTCAGTCTCTGAGTCATCCCACGATGGACATTTATCAGTGAAAATGGTGTATTTTGAGGAGGTTGAAACCACTTTGTCCAGATGTGCCAACCATAGCTCGTTTTTTTGACCTGGCTCTTTGACAAAGGTTTCGCATCTTCCACAATTACCCGATATAAAGTGGCCTTATTGGCTACCTTTAGTTACTTGAAGAGAGGAAAATTATTTTGAGTACCCAGTGCTCTCAGGCCTCTTCAAGTCATTTCAAGTTCTTTGTCCCAAACAACAGTTTCAGT